TATATACATTACCAATACGAATTCCAATATTTTTGTTATATTAAGATGTTATCCATCAATTTCAATTGGGTTTGTTTGTTTTTTGTTGTTGTTTTGTTTTTTCTACTTTTTAAAAATGTTCTAACTTTCACTTTTTGACCATCCATACTCCTTAGTACTCCTCTGAAGTTTACAGATGGATTGTCATATGATTGGCCAAAATAATATATCCCAGGGATATGGCTCCATTGTACAGGGGAATTTTTTCAATTTAATCTATTTTAGATTTTATTTTAAGGCCGACATTCCAGTCTACTTCGGCAAAAAAGCCATTTTCTAAAATAGCCAACGTTGAACCAATACACACAAAAATTAACAAGATATAAAAAAACGGCTCCTATACATATGATAATCACAACCCTCTTACTAGTCTTACCTACTTAAAATATCTGAAATGTAAACAAATTCCATCTGTAAATTTTGGAGAAATTTTGAGTAAATGATGTAATATTCAAGATCGTGGCCATTAAAATGAAAACCATAATAGATCATGTTGGAGGGGGTTCTTGTTTTTTATTTCCTGTTTTTGGTTTTTGGTGGGTTTTTTGTTCTTCTTCTTCTTTATAGGTTGTTTTTTTTTTTCTCAAAATAATGTTTTCGTCAGTAGTAGCTCTTGCATTAAAAGTTTCAAGTCCTTAAGCTCTGTAATAACGATTTCAGCCCCGACCTGGGACCCCCTCCTTACCTTAGCCTTAAAGCTGACATTTCCTGGTGAAAACGGAAGCAACAATTAAAAGACAAACAAGAGCGATGACTTGGTGCTAAATGAGAATCAGTCACAAGTTAAAACATATCTTTTCTGTACAACAATTCCTGGCACAAACAAGAGACCAGATTCTGTTTCAGTAAAAATTAAAATGTGATTATAATCTCTATCACAATATACAATAGAAAAATATTAAATTTTCTTCATAATAGCACAAAAAGAGTTCAAATATCATTCATGTCAAACGCATAATATCATGGACATACAGATAGTGTGTTTAGATTTGTTTTGGATCAGAGACAAACCTGCCATATAAAGAATCATAGACAATGTTTCAATGTAGGCCTACATGTATGTATCCCTCTCAACGACGCAGGCAGCTCTGGTAGTAGGAAATCAGTGGTGCCTAAAATAAGTTATTTTTACAACTCAAATCCTTACTGTTTCTAACTAGATCTTGAGTCTAGTAAGCTTTCAATAAAACATTTGTGATGATAACGGGGAAATTTGATAATCTGGAGATGAAAAGAATATATAAAAAGTGCTGAAACTTTTAAGCAATGGCTATGGATGCTACACGGGAAATTTATTTTTTTAAATTAATCTTTTTAAAAAAGCATTAACAGTTATACCATGAAGAAAGCAAATCAGACTTGCAATACGAGCACCATATTATTATATTTAAAACGTCGGCCTACGTACATATAATCAAGTTTGTGATACTCGCACGCCAATTATCCAACCAGTTTTTTTCGGGGTTCAAACTTGATCCACAGGCCTTCAACAGCCTTGACCTGTAACTTTTCCTGGGTAAAGGGATACACTGTTTTCTCACAAGGTACAGGGCTTAAAGTCTGCAGCATGGCAGCCACGGCAACCTTTACTTCCAGCAAACCCAATCTCATTCCAATGCAGTTCCTCGGACCCTGAGAAAGAGTAGACCAAAGAAAACCATTGTCAGGTGTCAGAACTACACTGAATTATCATTACCCCTTTATGAGGGGAAAAATATACATTTCTTATTAACTTTTTTTTTGAGAGAGAGCCTATTGAAAGGCAATTTCATCAGTTAAAGGATCAATGCTTCTGCAAATAAAATAAACACCTTTCCACCACTTTATAAAATGTGCAGCACAACATTCCTTCCAAAAGTCCCTTGATTAGAAGAGTGCTTCTTGCTAACATACATGTGTGCACGCTGGCTATGACCATTTCACATGGAAGCAGAGGAGCAAATGTTAACCAGGTTTATGCTAAACCAAAGTATGGAAACTATGAGTACTGGAAAAGTACACATATTAAAATTTGGTAAAAGTAATGGAACAAGAGCCAAGACAAGGATATTCAACACCAGCATCAAAAGTGTACCACTTTATAGATCAAAAATAAAGAAACTTACACAAGAAACTTCTAAAAAATTACAGTTTTTTTCAACAGTTGCTTAAGAAAAGTCCTAAAAATTGATTAGCCTTATACCATAAGAAATTTATGAACAACAAAGGGAGCAAACAAATCAAGTGAAAATAGATTATATTATAATAGAAACCAAAGAGAAAAAATAGAAGTGGATTGGACACATCTTGAGAAAACTGAAAATAGTCAGATGGAACTCACAAGGACAGAAAAAGAAAGGAAGGCCTAAATGTAGTTGGGAGGAGGGACTTAGATTCAGACCTAAAGGAGATGGGATACAGCTGGAAAGAGGTGGAGGCTATAAACCAGGACAGAAGTACATGGAGATTTCTAGCTGGTGGTTTATACTTTGGCATGGGTTATGTAAGACTGATGATGACGATGATGATGATGATGATGATGATGATGATGATGATGATGATGATGATGATGAAGATGAAAGTAAAACCCCTTTCATTTTTGTGCAATCACTGCCACTATTTCCTGTACTTGTGAAACATAATTGTAACTCCACTTTGACCTCTACAATGATACCAAATGTTCCACACTGAGTCAGACAGTTCGAAATTGATGCTACACAGTTTACTGTGACCCGTTATTTCTTCCTTTTTTTTATTACCTCATCTTTATCTCACATTGTTTGATGTCATCTTATTTGATAAAAGGAAAAGAAAATAGTTTTTGTTCTCAACCAACCTGTCCAAACGGCAAGAAGGCATAGGGATGACGCTCTGCTTTGTTCTCTGGAGTGAATCGTTCGGGGTCAAACTTCTCAGGCTCGGACCACAGTTCTGGGTCGTGATGAATAGCATGCTAGGCAGAACAGTAAAGAGGATAAAAATTAGTTAATACTGCTCCGGCTTTTACTGGCGCTGCTGCTACTGCTGTCATTTCTACTGCTGCTGCTGCTGCTGCTGCTGATGCTGATGATGATGATGATGATGATGATGATGATGATGATGATGATGATGATGATGATGATGATGATGATGATGATCTTGACAGTGGAGTGATGTTGGCATTTTTTGACACTTAGAATGTTACTAGCTAATGATCAGTTGAAAACAAACATGTATGAGTATTCATTTCACACAATCCCAAAAGTAGTCACCCATATATTTCACAAGAAAATGTGAGGATTCTGTTGAAGCAGATTACTGCTTAATAGCTTGTTCTTTACAGATATTTTTGTAAATTATCATAATATAAACCAGGTAGTGGAGAATGTTCATTTTATGTCTGAGTGGTCATCATTGGAGTTTCCTCTCTTTACTTACCACAGGGAATGTGACATTCATGCCTGCTGGAATCTTTATTCCTTGAATTTCAATTTCTTTATCGCAAATCCGATCCAAGATGAATCCTGGTGGGTACATCCTCATAGCTTCATTCATGCACATTTCGATGTAGGGCAGAGACTGGACAGAGTCATAATCTGGAAATTTCCCTTCAAGCACTTTGTCCACTTCCTCCTGTGCTTTTTTTAGACACTCAGGGTTCATGCAGATCAGGAACATGGTGAAGGACAGCACAGTAGCAACGGTATCATAACCAGCTAGGAAAAAGACAAAGGCCTGGCCCTGCAAAAATTCAGCAAATTATAGTATAGCAAGTTTTAAAAGTCATTGAATGTCAGGTAAGGCACAACAGTTAAGTAAAATCATAAAAATAAGTACCAGTCGTTTAATTGGTGTATGGTGGGTCCCTTTTGAAATCAGGAGACTTGTCATCAAAAGTTAAAACATATCTGAATACGAGATGTTTCTGACAGTCCCATTAACATTAGAAATGCACAACCTGGAAGATAATACTTTATTGAATGCTACATACTTGACACTCAAGTAAATAATAAAATAGAAAACAAAGCTTTCCTTTGCCAAAAAAAACCCCGAAAAAATGATACATTGAATTCCACTATACGTATTCTGCCCCTCAATCTTAAATCTCATTTAGCAGCTCATAAATTTCTTCTACTTCTTGGGCCAGCATCGTTCTCAACAACATTGATGTTAAAATATGGCAGAGGTGCATTGCTTCATCAGAACTATGGGTCACTGCGATATTGTCCACACATAAACTATTTCTTTAATAAATATACATATGACCACATATAAAAAGAAAGAGAAACAGCACTTATTTAATTCTTTTACCTGAATATCTGAATAGCTCAGAACTTTTTTTGTTTCTGTGTTGTGCCCATTTTCCTGTTCCTCATTTACTGCGTGATTTCCATGTTCAGTATGGTCTTCGTGCTCTGCATCCAACATTATTTGTATGAAGTCGCTACGTCCAGAACCTCCACCTTTTTCATGTTTCCTGCTCTCCAAAGCCTTGTCAATAAAACGAGTAAAAAATTCAGTGGCATCTTTTGGCATCAAAGTTATACCTAGGAATTTAAAAACTGGTCTCAAGAAGTTAACAAACATGGCCAAAAAAATGAAGCGTCCAAAGCTCCCCAGAAGAGCTTTTCCAGACTTGGTAAATTCATTCTCTCCTTCTTTGAGTGAGTTTATCTCCACACCAAAACCTGTGCTTGCAATCATATCCATTGTGTAAGCTGACAACAGATCTCTCAGTTCCACTGGTTCGTTTCTTTCATGCTTCTCCTTAAGATGCTCCAGCAAGAGTTGGGTATTGCGTACAATGTGTGGGTACATCTTGCGAAGTTTGGTCGTGCTAAAGCTGGGGCTTACTGTGGCTCTGACAGTTTTCCAGTGATCATCTGGGAAATTCAAGATTTAATTGAGGGTATTTACTTAAATACAAATGTAATATTGGGGGGGGGGGTGGTCTACATACGAGTATCCGCCAATACTATTATCAGACATTATTAGATGCCATTATTTATAAAGAGTTTATTTACAAACATATCTAAGTGTTGGAGTCTTGTATAAAATACACAAGAGCTGGGAGGAAAGTTGGACAACTAAAAGATAAGATTCATGTTGGCTTGAGCCCTTTTCAAGCTCAGTAGGTATCAGGCGGAGAGTTTAAGAATCTTTCATAGTGTGTGTCACGGCTTTGTTTTGAATTCTCATGGCTCTCTAATCCATCCACTTAGTTTGATCCTCTTGGAGGTGGGGAAATCAGAAGAACCATCTTTTGTAAAACTTAGAGTGCTGAAAAGACCATTAAATCTATACAACAATCTCGTACTATATTTATTCAGAATGAACTAGTATAAGAATGCCTTTGTGCTAGTGAACAAAAATACAAAGTATATATATATTATATTTGTGTTTGCAGATCTATTTGTGATCTATGTGTCTATATAGATGGGTGGGTGGGTGGATATGTGCTTGCATGCGTGTTAGTTATGAGTGAATGTGTGCCGCCATAGAGGAGAATGAGCATATTCCGGAGATTTTTTTTTTATGTTCTTTATTCTTTTATTATAAAACATATCTAATATATTACACAAGATTTTATTTATCACTCACCGCGAGTCTCTAAAAATAAGTATTGTATGATGCTGCATCGGGCCCGATATTTCATTGATAAACAAAATTATTGATTATTTATTCATTTTTCATACCTTTAAGCTCCAGGAGTGAATTACCCAGTGGGGGTTCCACGTCAAAGGTTTGTCTGTTGACAAAATTGTTGAAGTGCTTAACACAGATGTCCCTGATCATATCAAGGTCACAGACTATCAGGGCGGGTTGTTTTGCCCGGAACACCCCATACACCTGAAAACATAGGGGACTCAGAAAACATTTGCAAGTCTCTCTCTCTTTCTCTCTCTCTCTCTCTCTCTCTCTCTCTCTATCTATCTATCTATCTATCTATCTATCTATCTAT